ACTGCTTTTAATTAAAGCACTTTTATTTCTTAGATGATATACCATTGGCCATGAAGGGAACACATCACCTCAATGTGCTCTGCCCCATCCAGCTGGGGAGGGCCTGTCCAAAAAGGATGTGGTCAGAAGGTAAGTTGGGAGTCACTTGCTATAAGTGTAAAAAGTACAAAGTCACATCATCCCAGAGCAGTAGTTATTTCCTGACACCCATTTTATGCAGAAGTGTCTGAGGGTTTAATACAAATGTTGGCCAAGTGTGTGCAGGGGGGCCCCACATCACAGTTCTAAGCACAGAGCCAAGCGCAGAACCTGCTCCCTCTCCCTCTCTGATTTCTGCTGCAGCCTGCAATAGAAAATAAATTAATGTTCTCATTTTAATTTTAGGCAAGGAAGAATGATATATATTGCTTATCTGGCAATGCAGGATGTCCATATCATGTCTGGCAGAGTGGGGAACACGCCAGCAAACAGAGACTGCTCTGCAGAGTGGGGGCCTGATGGAAGGTGTGCACTGCAGCTATTGAGGTGAGAGCAGCTGAGTGCTGCAAACCAGGCTTTAAATGCCCAATTTATTTCTAATTTAATTCCCCCCTTAGCTTTATTTAAAATTGTTTTGATAATGGAGGCATTTGGCTCTGGGAATTTAGCACAGGGAGATGAGAACACTAAGAGTTTGATTTGCTGTTTCTGTAAGTGTATCTAGTACTGCTGTAGCTGTACAGTGCAGCTTGAATTCAGATGCACTGCTTCCCCTCAGCACAGTGGGGAATACATCTAGCCAGAAAGTGTCACTAGAATGGGGCAAGGAGAAAAAAGAGAAGCGAAGAGTTGAAGGGAAGAGGGTAAAAAGAAAAATGGATCAATAAAAAAAAGGGAAAAATAGTAAAGGGGATAAGAGTGGTAAACAAAAATGAAGGTACAGAGCATGTGTTAGAAAAAGAAAAGGAAAATGTGAAGTGGTTTGAGGATGCTGGGAAATCTCATCCTTTCAAAAAATGAGACTCTGGGAACCAGAGTAAGGCTTCATGCTAGAGCATTCCCTCACATGTTGAGCAATGGCAGGAGTGAGAAAAAAGCCTAAAAGGAAACTGAGGAGAAGAAAGAGGGAGTGCTTTTGACAGTGGATGCTGTTGGTAACAAGAAGGGAGGTGGTGCTTTCTCCTGGGCTGCAGAGATGCTGATTGTCCTGCTGGGGTTGTGAGGGATACAGATGCACAGTTGGACCTACCATGACAACTCTTGTTTTCCAATAAATACATTGGAAGAACTTGACTGTATTGTACTTAAGGGCTATTTATTTGACCTGCTGTAGAAACATGCATTTCATTAAGGGAAGAGAAAAGATGAATCTGAGATAACAGCCTAATTTATAAAAGATAGTATCTTTTCCTCAGCATTTTTAACAAAGCAGTCAAAGGGAAGCAGAGAAGGCTGCAGGAGGAAGCCCCATGTGTCCACTGAGCCAGCAAATCGTTTGACCCAGCAGCTATTAGTGTTTATTTTGGGGCACTCTTGAAATGTCTGTTCCAAGGTACAAGTCTGCAGAAGCAGGGGCTGCCCAGGCTCCCAGCAATGGCTGGCTGTGGTGCTTTTGCATGGGAGGTATTTATGGAAGTGATGCAAAGCTTCTAGCTGCTACAGAAGCAGTATATGCTTCTGTGAAAAACACATGTTAAAGATGAAAGAAACCCGGGAATGTTTTTTAGTATTCGTGGAGAGAAACACAAGAGAAGTGTTTTCTTGTAGAGAAGTCTCCATAACATTAACAAGACAGACTTGTCTCCCTAAGTGAACCAAAGAAAGACTATTCTAGATGTAGTAAACTGACTAAAATTTTAAGTTTTATTTCTTTACATTGTCATTGAGAAATAAAAGGTTGTAAGGGGAGGAGAAGTATTCTAAAAGTTTTGTTCTGATTCTCATTACTCTTTCTTTTAGTTATTGTTTATAAGCTTTTCTTTATATGCTTTTAAAGTTTTAAGCCTGTTTTACCTTTCTCCTAGTCCTACCTCACAGCAAAAAAATTGGTAAGTACATCCTAGAGAGTGCACTGGTGATTAGCCAGCACCGAACCCACCACATTTACTAGTGCATTAGCTGAGAAATCTCAAATTAACCAACCAAAACTGTGGAAATCCTTAAATTCAGAGGGTTTTGGGAAAGCTGCAGGCCTCAGAGACAGCAGAACTGTATTTAGAGATAAGCAGGAGCCATAAGATTCGTCAGCAGGAAAGTTATATAAGAAGTAGAAAAGTAAGGACAAATAGAACAATGGTCAGTGTATTAACACTTGGCTAGAATAACTCCCTAAGCTACAGAAAAGTATATCTAACATGATATTAGGAATTTCTAAGCTTATTAATGGAGCTCTATGCATTGTATCTTAAGGCTTACAAGCAGATATTGTATTTGAAATTAGCAAGCATTGTTTTAACCAAAGGTACGTGTGCTTATAGTGATTGGATAGAACTACTGTCAATATGCTTTTGCTTTGTGTGATTGGTCAAAAAGCTTTTAAAGTGAGTTGTAACATTAAATTCTTGGTCTGTTGCTGGGGATGTGAGCTGCTGGCATCTTCCCATTGTCACAACCATGTAATGAGGCTGATGCTGGAAAATCAACAGCTCGAGACACGTTCCTCAGCAGCCCCGTCCCGTGTGTGATCTGTACACAGCCCCTGGCTGGTGACACAAACCCCACCCTGGCACTGGGACACGGAGTCACTGCTGGAGCTGTCCTGATCATGGGGAGTGTCCCTGCACAGGCAGTGACACCTGTCAGGGTGTGCCAGCACTGCTGCAGCACCAGTGATGGGCTGTGCACCTGCAGGTGTTGGTAGAGGCTGGAACTGGATTTGTCAAAGCCTTGGAGTGACGTGCCCAGGGCTCCTGTGGGCCAGGGAACCAGGCTGCCCTGGCTGTGCTCAGGTGTGTGTGGGCACACCAACCCTCACTTTCTGCCTTGGTACCACATGGGCAGGCAGGGAACAGCTAATGACTGCACAGAGGAGTCAGGAGCTTGGCTTGTGGGGTCCAGCAAATGCCTGGGGTTGTCTCTTTTGACCACACAAAGAGCTGCATCTCTTGAAAACAAGACAGATAACAAAGGTTAGGACTCTGTGTTCATTTGCTTTAATTCCCGTGGGGATACTTGGATTGAGGAAAACTCAGTAAAAATATAAAAACCTGGCAATATCCCTGAATGATTCTCCAGAAATGTGCTTAGGAAATTAGATGAATTATAGGAAACCCAAAGGAAGACCACAGCAGTGTTCAGAGCACTCCATGACAGACTGCAAATAGGAGCCATCTTTTTCTTAAATTAAAGTGACGGAGAAATATTAGGAAAATCTGTATATATTTGATGGCATTGTATGGTATGGCTAACACCTCATCTGCTACCTGTTAAGGAGCAATGTTTACTTACAGCTTCCTATTTACTCCCATCCTTTTCTATTTGAGCATGTGTAATTTAAAATCATTGAAAAACTAGCAGAGCGAAACAAACTGACTGAAGCACACAAGGTTATTTCCTTAGAATTTGGACTGTATTGGCATGCAGAAAGGGGCTTGCTTAATTTCCTTCAGGTAGTCTTTGATTTTGCATGGTTCCTTTGAGTCCAGTTTCATATGAGATTGTCTTGGGAAGGTTAAAGGAATCACAGTTTCTAGGAGGAGAGGGGCAAATCCCCTTCTGTGTACCACAGGGACTGGGGGGTGGCACCAGCACTGCATTTGTCCCTGTTTGTGAAGGAACATTCTGAAGATGCTGTGTGTACTGAGCAGAGATAAAATGAAGAACCATGTCAGTCCTGTAATTTTTGCAGAATAAAGAGGCTTCTCCTCCACCCCACCCCCATCTCACAAGCATTTGGCTTAAAATGTGCTCTGACTCACTAGCCAGGTGGCTGGTAGGAAGTACAGAGCTCATGTCTCTGCCAGGGAGGGAGGCTGCTGCTCAAAGCCCTTTCTGTGAGTGCACAGAGCCTGGTGCAGGGCTGGGATTTGATGCTCTGGGATCTTCCCTCTCTCTCAAAGCCACAGACTTTGCCTGGTGTGACATGCCTATTTTAAAAACATCTGGGTTGTTTTCTTATGTTTCTTGTTGGAGTGTGAACCACCAGCCTCATGCCTTGGGTTCCTGCTGAAGCTGTTAAACCAAATTCCTGACTTGTGCAAAATATCCTTTTCTCTCCATCTGATGCAGGGCTGAGCAACACACAGCTGTCCCAGGTGACTTTCTGAGAGGATGAGCAATCTCCTAATCCACTTTCCATCAGCATCCTGCTCTGCAGCTGTGTTGGTCATAGGGCTGAAAGGCATCTGAATGTCACTGGAAGAGGTGACGTGTCAGGTGCAATCTTCTGTACAGCCTTTGGCAAATGTGGTGCTGGGTCAAAGGTCTAAAGCTCTGGTAAAAAGGACATAGCAAAGATAAACAGTCTTAAATAAAATGCTCTAACTCAGATTTTGTGGATGGGCTTATCCTCATCCTTACTTCAGGATTAGGTTTTTTCTTGCTCCGTTTATTCCTTTGTTTTTCAGCTGGCTTTGCTGTGGGTTTTCAGGAACATTATTTCTGTTTAGGAGGTATGAAATAAGCAATTAAAATCCTTAGTTCTGGAATTTGACATGTCTTGGCAAAGCCTGCCAGTGTCCCCACTGAAGGCATTGCTGGCTCTCCATTGCAGATGCAGCTGGCAGGGACAGGGCTCTTGGGTGGGAACACAAAGTTATTAATGCTGGTGAACTTAAAACTTTGAATTAACTCTTCTTAAAGGTGAATTTACTTTTCAGACTTCTCTGAAGGCGCCCCAGTAGCCCCAAGGGTGCCATTAGCCCATGGGGCTGGAAGTTCTCTAGGGCATGGATCATTTCATCCCCCAGATCTGGTGTGTGTCTTCCCAAAGGCTCTGACCCACAGGAAGCTGGAGGAGCTGTGCAGCACATGCACTGTGTAACTGCAATGAGTTACATGAAAGTAGGAAATAGGAAGAGAGATTTCATTTTTGTTGGCTTTTATTTTCTATAGTCTTCAGAATAACAGAAGTTATTTTTCTCAAGCTGTCAAGGAAAAAATATTGTGTTGAAGCAGAGACTGAGCTTAAGGCAACTTGGGTGGAGCCGGAGCTTTCAGCAGTTCCCCATGTGCAAACACCTTCTTGGGCTCTTGGCTCTGCCTGCCCTCTGTTCCAGCCAGGTTTTGTCCAGGAGCTGGGCATGCCCAAGCAGAGGAGGACTGGGACACTGCACATCAGGAGCTGTTGGGAAGAGATGAGGGATCTGGCCAAAGCACTGCTCCATCACCAGGCAGTCTGTGGTACCTGGGAGCAGAACACCAGTATTTCTCCTTCATGCAAGGAGGCACCAAAAGCTGTGAACTCACCATGAGCAGCGTGTTGTGCACTTCTGCAGCAGCCAACAAACACTGAATAAGGTTCAGCTGAGGCTGGGCCTCCAGGGATTAATTTCACTGTGGGAACAGAGACCCAAAACTTCTGTCATAATAGCAAAAGGAAAGAAAGTGATGTGATGTGAGCACAGATGCTTGCATGATTTTGTATTTTGGAAAGTACAAAGGATCTGTAAACCTGCCAAGAAAAAGGGTTAAGCTCGGTTTTGCATCTTTCTTTTAGGCAAGCAGGCAGTGTGCATGGAAGCCTGCTTGGAAGCAAACTTCAGATGGAAATGGCACCACCACTACTTGGCAGTGGCTGATCTTGTCTCTGTAACACGCTGCAGTCATAGCCAGGCACTGCTTCATGGCAGGATGGCAAACCCAGCCCTGATTTTGTGCAGCCCCAAGTGTGAGGGGGATGGGGAGAGCGAGCACCAGGAGTGCCCTGAGCCCCCCTGAGCTCCCTGATGGCAGCTCTGCCCCAGCACAGGCCTGGCTTAGGTCAGATGCTGTTGTCTGTCTGAATGTGAAACATCTGAATGAGTACTGTGTTAACAACTGGCACGTCAGCAGCCCATTTGGAATCTCAAGGGACAGCACAGCCTTTGGAGCTGATACAGTGTGTGGTGGGGGAGCACAGGGACATGCTGGAACGTGGTTGTAGCTGTTAATAACAGTGTGGTTTGCTGGAACCTGAGGGGTTTATTAAAAGCTGCTCTGTTTCACATTTTGTCTACCTATATCTATATTTTGCTAAAAAAGCGACATGTGAAATGTAGATTTGGATTATTCAAAACTACCTAGTCCCAAAAGCGTTGACTGAGATGTGAATGCCTGAATTTCATCACTCTTCAGGATACCTCCCTGAGCACAGCCACTGGATATATAATTTCTTACTTCGACCACTGCCAAATGATGGATACTTAACAATGCATGTGTCTAAACAGACATCAATATTTTTCCAGCCATGTTTTATAGCTGTTATTCTTGAGGCTGATCATAGTCTGAGGGACAGGTGTGCCAAAACTCCTTGGTAAAAAACATAAGAATCTTTGGAGTTTGAAATAACTCTCTATGAGTGTCTGTCCATTCCCCTGTCCATTCCCTTGTCCATCCTTGGCCTGGCCAGCCAGAGGGCAGCAGCATCTTGCATGGCAGAGAAAGAAGCACCTTCCTTGGTGCTAGAAGACTGAGTCTTAGTGCTCTGCTTTGGAACAGGGAGATGAAGAGCTCGATGAGGAAGGATAAACCCAGCAGGAGAGTCAGAGTACCCAGCAGTCCCCAGGAGTGGCCTGCCCCAGGTGAAAGGAGCTGCAGTGTCAGCAGGGATGCAGTGGCCATGCCCTGCTCTGAGTAGGACCTAGCAAGAAGTCAGCAGATCCTCCAGATTGGCATCAGCAAAATCACAGATGGAATTGTATTTTCTGAAATTTTTGAAGGAGAGTACAGCTCTGCCAGCAGAGTGAATGCAGTCAGAGCCAGCACAGCAGCAGTGGGGCTGGGACACCATTTTATTCTTTTTCAGTGTTTAATAATTCTGGGCTTTAGCACTCCCACTTATTATTGCAGTGGCTGACAGGGGACCTACGGGAAAATCCAGTCTTATTGAAATTGAAAAGGTCAGTTTTGTTGAGCATTTCCATGGTGAAAATAGGGAGTTAAATGTATTCAGACTTCTCAAGCTACTCGGCTCCATGGTTGGACTGACCAACTGGAAGAATTTCCTGCAAGCTATTGTAATAGTATCTCATTGCACAGCTTTTGTGTGTGGGGTGGGTTCGAGGTTTTTGTCAAAAAAATAAAAATTGCTGGCCAAATTCTTCAGCCTTTGGGTGCTGTTCATGGCCAGACTGCTGCCAGGAATCTTGTGACAGGCTCTGAAGGCAATGGGAAGGCAGCTTTTCAGTATTTCCATTTCTGCCTCACCTGGGACTTCTGCTGACTGTCCCTTTAAAGGGTGTTTTGTGCAAACATTCCTTCATTTGTCTCTGGCAAGTGTCACCTCTGACTCTGCTGTTTCCCCCTGATGTCAATGAGGTCTTTGCTCTCTGTGGGTTAGTCCATAACAGGATACATTTTATTAGGGCCCAGATTGATTGTGGTTAATTGTTCAGGCGAGTGTGATCTCTCTGCCATTCCCTGAACATTGGATGGCATTCACAGCTCCTGCCTCAAGAGATGAAGGCCCCCTTCTCTGAGGTGCTGCTACACCTTGAAATGTTCCTTTTCCTGTCTGCAGACTTGCAGGAATCCTTGCCCCAGCAAAGGCACACTGGAGCTGAAGAAGCTTCTCTCTGTGCAGTAACACATTTCTTGTTCAGTCATTGCAACTCAATGCCCAGTCCTGCTGTATGAAATTTCAAATAATTCATCAGTCTCATATGCTTTCTTTATTTCTTCTTCTTCTGCTTGTTACTTAGGTGCCACAGGCATAAAAATTGAGATCTTCCTTTTTAAAAAGTTCATCTGCTCCTACCACTCACTGCTAATTAGTTCTTTTTGCCCCACAATTTTCATAAAGCTCTCTCAGTATCCAGGTATGGTGGCACCTCCTACAAGGTTTCTTACCTTTTGTGGTGTAGGCTGTCACTGTGTAACTCCTTCAATGATCACATGGAAGGGGGTCCTATCACCTTCCCTGGCTGTTCTGTAGACACGTGTGAATTATCAGAAATGGGTAGAGAAGCCATTGCCCTGGGAAGGGAGTGCTCTCCTTCACAGCCAGGCTACGAGCCCTGCCCCAGTGTCTGACACTGTGGATTTGGTATGATTCTACCAAAGCTCTGAGTGCCTTGTGCTGGATTTCAGCTCAAAGACTCTGTGACAGCACAGAGGATGGGCTGGTGTCATTGGTGGCTGTCCCCATGGGGCAGTGTGAGACTGCTGCCCCCAGTCCCACTAGCCCACTCCCCTGGGTGAGGAGCAGGGAGAGATGTCAGTGAGAGACTCCCTGCAAAAACCAGGAATGAAATTATTTATTTTATAACTTTTTGCATGGATGTTTGTACCTTGAGATAATCCCTGAGCAGGTGAGGCTCTGCTTGGCTGTGCTCTGAGCCCTGCTCATACTTGTGGATTTTGGGTGCTGCCACACTGGCCTGTGCAGTTTGTGCAGGCAGCAGACTCTTGAGAGGCAATTGTCATGGTAATGGGAGACCTGCCTGGGTTTTATAACCTTGGATCCATGCCCTCCACTCCCTGCTACCCCTGACTCTTTATCACAGCTTCTCCTCTGCTCTGGCGCTGCTCTCCCCTGTGCCAATTAAGTAGCTTTTCCCTTGGTATACCAAGAAGCTGGGAATAGCTGAATTTTGTATTTTACTTGCAAGACACAACTGTATGTAAATTGAGTGAATTAGCTTTGGTTGGGTTTTTTCTTTCTTTTTTTTCCTTTTTTTCTTATTTTTCTTTCTTTTTGCCCACAGTAGACTGCAATATGTGTACCATGGTAATCCTTGTATAATGTCCTCAGAGTTTTCATACCTCCCAGTTCTCCTACACCCTCGTGGCTGCCAGTTTCTCAGTGCAGTACCATACACCACGTAGCAGTGTGTAGCTGCTGGGAGGCTGGGCAGTGCTCCTGGTCTCACCTCCAGCCCACCCTCCACCACAGCTGCTGCTTCAGGCAGAGTCCTCTCTCAGGAGGTTTCCCCCACACTGCACATGCTTTTAACAGCCTGGCCTAGTGGTTTTTAGCCATTCCAGCTGATTTCAGAAGGTTCTTCAGCCTTTACATGTAAGAGCTGTTTCATTTTGCATTCAATATAACATACATTGAAGACTGAAGACCTGGAAAAGCAATAGATTGCAAACTGTGGTTACTTTGACTTTGGTTTGCACACACATGCACATTCTTGCTTACTTACAAGGGTTGGCTGTTTATTTCTCAGGCCAGGCAATTTTGCTATTAAAATCTGCAGAAGTTTTTGTTTCCAAAAACTGATGAGCACCCACAAGTTGGTGTGCATGACTGTTCTCCATTTCCCAGGGGTGGATGTTTAAATGCAATCAGCAAACCTGGAAGAGGCCAAACTTCCTTAACATCAGTTTTTCAGTGAATATGGTGAAAAAGGAAAAGGCAAAGGGAAAAAGGAAGGAAGGAAGGGAGGAAGGAAGGGAGGGAGGAAGGAAGGGAGGAAGGGAGGAAGGGAGGAAGGGAGGAAGGGAGGAAGGAAGGAAGGAAGGAAGGGAGGAAGGAAGGAAGGAAGGAAGGAAGGAAGGAAGGAAGGAAGGAAGGAAGGAAGGAAGGAAGGAAGGAAGGAAGGAAGGAAGGAAGGAAGGAAGGAAGGAAGGAAGGAAGGAAGGAAGGAAGGAAGGAAGGAAGGAAGGAAGGAAGGGAGGGAGGGTGGGAGGGAGGGAGGGAGGGAGGGAGGGAGGAAGGACAAGCTCAAAAATTTATGCTCACAGAAAGATGACACAGCCCAGTACAGGGAGTGAAGGAGAGGAATAATCCCCATTGTGAGGGTAGAGGTGAGAGGAGCAGGGACATTGAGGAAGTCAGGATGAAGCAAGGAATCTCTGGCAGAGCTGGAGCTCCCTGCAGAGTCCCAGCACACCAGTGCCTTATCTGGAAGACCATTTTTCCCCCTTGTTAATAGTGATTATGATCTTTCAAATAAGATTTTATATTTGTTTACATTTAGTAGCTCATCCTTCAGGAAGGACTCAATCCTGCTTGGTACTTACATCAGTTTGGGCTGATTTAGATCTGTCAGGAGCTAAGGATGCTCCTCTTTTCCTAAGCCAAGCCCTTCAAGAAGCTGCTGCTATTGACAGATTACCATTTATAGCTCTTTATTGCTTACTGTAGGTTTATTGCAAACTCCTTTCCTGCTTAGTTTTCTTTCCCTCTCTCAGAGCAAACATAATGTACAGCCTATGTAAATATAAAGCATTAAGCAATTACTGGGTTATTTCAGATGCAGCACTAATAATACATCATTTCTGGAAGCACAGCTTCCCATGTCGTCTGGTACAGTACTCACTGAAAGGGAGCTGCTGTATCCCTGAGTTATTACCCACCCACCCCAGGAAACAAAGGGGTGTCCCAGAGGTTAATGTGGTTAGTAAAGCAATTTGAGGAAGATGAGCTTGAATCTGCTTACACAGTGCACAGAGGATATTTCAACAGCAGACTCACATCTCCTGCTCTGCAGCTCCTGCATCTCTGCCGTGCTTCTGCCAGGCTGCTGCTGGAATGAGGAGCAGCACCTCTGAGAATCTGCTGCGTCTGAGATCCCCCAGGCAAACTGCCTGGCACCAGTTTTAACAGGCTCCATGTGGGTTCTTACTGAAAATGAAGAAACCTGAGTCTGCATGGCTGCTGTGTGCTTCTGTCCTGCTCAGCCCTGGGATGCAGCCTGGAGCGGCCTGGTCAGTGCCAGGTGAGGAAGGAGGCAGCAGTGCCAGGGGATGAGGGGCAGCTGCCAGCTGAGCACCCAGCCTGCTGCCCTCTGCAATGCACACCTGTCGGAACTCAAAATGTCCCTCAGACATTTTTAGAGGTTCCAGGCCTTGGTCAGAAGCGTTTTAGACCCTGGCAAGCAGCTGAAAACAGCTGTGATTTTGAGTTTGAACCATGGAATGAATTACCAACTTTGAAGGTGGAACAAGCAGTCACAGAGGGTTAGATGATATGGTAAAAGTAGTCACAAATTAGAGGGTAAAATTTTTTTAGTATTGTACAGGGGGGTTTTAACACCTGTACAGGGGGGTTTTACTTTGTACAGGGGGGTCAGGAGTTCTAAGATGGAGGAAAGTGGGCCTGAACCTGTTCTTCCTCCTTCTTCTTCCTTACCTCCATGTTCTTGGTGATGTTGGCATTTTTCTATTGGTTTAGGCTAGGGACACACTATTCAACGTAGATGATAGATATTGGCACATTATTGTAAATATAGTACACGTAATTTCTGGTATATAATGTTTGTACCATCCCACTGAGGGCAGAGCCCCACACGCTGCCCTGCAGGACAGAGCTGCGGCAGGGCAGCAGAACATGTTAGAGATAAACAGAATAAACAACCTTGAAACAGCACAGACGAACTATGGCTTCTTCTTTGGCAATGGGGCAGAAAGACAGAGACTTTCTACAATCTCGGAATCACCAATACCCACAGATTCCGACACACACCCTCTCTTGGAGGGTGCTAAATTTTTTAGCAGGTGCCAAAGGCACATTGGTTGGGCAGGCTCAGCAAAGTTTGTGCTGCCTGCGTTGTGCCTGTTCAGTGGGTAAACAGCAGAATGGATCTCCAGAGCTGTCAATCCCGCGCCTCCACTGGCACTGCAGTGCCTAAAAAAGATGTTTTTAGAGAAAGGTACAGATGCACTGTGCTTCCTTGGAATACACAGTTGAAAAAAAAGCTAGGATGGGCTCAGAAGCCTGTCTGGAGACTTCTTTTCTCCACCTAAAATTCCACCTTCTGAACTTCTAAAGTTCATTTGGTAAAATATTGAAATGACTGTGTTGTGTCTCCCCGCTGGAGGAGGCTCCCAGTGACTCAGGACACTCACTCCCCCTCTGAGCTCTGCCAATGCCCGTGCCCTGTGCTGTTATTTCTGCTTTAATAGTTTTTGGTTTGGATGGGGCTGTGGCTGTTTCAGCTCCCTGCCAAGCAGAGCCCTCCCTGCCCGTGCCAGCCCCACACGCAGCACTGGTTCTTCCTTTAGCTCTGAAAAATGAGTTTTACTGATGGGTTTTTGGCTGGCCTGTTCCAGGCATGTGGCTCACAGCTGAGCTAGCTGCCATGGCAGCAATGGGGCTGCCTGGGATCCTGATAAGGGGTTAGTTTGCTGACGGATTATCTTGCCCTTTCCTTTTGCACTTGGGATATGAAGAACGTGCTTATGTTTTCTTAAAATATCTGATCCATAATTCCAGTTTGGGAGCCATGGTGTATGGGCGTGCTTAGATATGGAGGTGTGGTAAGACAGAGAGACAAATCACAGTAGTGGGCTGAGCTTTTTATCTTTGAGTCTTATAAAATTTGGATACTACAGGGCAGATCTTTGGTGCAGTGTCCAGATTTAATTTGTATTTGTGTAGGAATAAGCAGTGCTCACTTATCTCTGCAGCATTTGCCAATTACATAAACCACATTTATAATTATGATTCATTTATTTAGATTTTCTCTTGTGGGATTTCCACAAGTACAGAGAATTAGAGAGAATTAAAATAATGTGTCTAGATTACTAGCAAGGCATTATTTCAGGCTTGCTCTGACTGTATATCATTCCCATTTGATTCAGTGTGTGAGTGCAATGGCCACAGTGTAATTCTTTATGGACATAATAAAAATCTCCCAAGCTGAACATTAATTGACAGCCTGTTTGGATGACCTGATTATAACCTGCAGCAGGACCAAGGCAGGTTTTGTTTCTGGGGAAAATAACTAAACTTGAGGCACCATGAGCAATTCCCCACTAGCCATCTCATAACGTTCTTGTCTTGGGAACATACAGAGATTTCCAGTGCTGGGCTTGTGCCTTTGTTAAATTCAGAATTTCAGTGCATTGAAGCAGAAGTGATCAATAGTTTTACACATCTTTCTCTCTTTTTGATGTGCAGGATATGCTGAGCAGGGCTGAAAGACACAGCTGCTATTCATTCCTTTGGGAAACACTGGCCTGCTTTGCTAAAATGATTTTTTT